CCCCGCCGCCAGATATCGTGGGCAGGGAGGAACACAGCGTTTGTAATGCCGTTCGCTCGCCATAGACATTTTCATGATTGTTTTTTATATATGCTTGTGTGGACAGACAACAGTAAATAGACAGACACATACACAGAGCGCTACTGAAGAACAGAAGCTGGTTTGCGCTCTGCCGGATGCGCTTTTATACTTTCTGGTGCTTACATCACCCCGCTCGTGACATTTCGCTATTCCATTGGACTGATTTGACACGTGCTTCAGAATGCGGTCACGCAAGGGCATTCCCAAAGTAACTTCGACGCAGCTCGAGTTCCTGAAGGGGAAGTAAGAATTCTGAGATAAAAAGTTGCATTCTGAGATTTAAACAGAATTGGAAGATATAACCACAGAATTGAAAGCAAAAAGTTATATCTTGGAAATCTGAGTTGTGAGAAAAACATCAGAATTGTGAGCTACATTTATCTTTTTTTTTTTTTTTTTCGTGGCTGAAATAAGATTCCATCGTTTGTCTTTATTCATTTATAGATTATAGCATTCTACAGTATAGTACAGTTGCCTATTTTACCTTGGGAAAAAAATATTTTCTCTTGTGCATGTTTACTGACTGTGAATTTATATTTATTAATATATTATACATTACCAGTTTTATTAACCAGTTGGGGTGCCTAGTGTTAGCATGCTATCTTGTTTTCATATCTTTGACCAGCTGGCAGGCTAATCTCTTATTTCATTACACGCATATTACAGTAAGTGATTGGCCGCGTCTAGATTTATTTTTCAGGCAGACAATGTCAATGATAATACAAATCCTGACTGGGCCCTGTTTCTAAAGTTAGGAGTGGTAAACACTCCTAGGTATCAGTGATTGAAAGAAGAGCTTTAAAATTATTTACATAATATCTGGCTTTTTCTATCCCAGCATATTTTCAAAGCTGTGGATGAACATCACATGCCTTCCATCTGCAGCACTATCACATGCACACTTTGTCAGTACTCTGCATATTTTAATACGGGTAGGGTTTTTCTAATTATGAGCATGATCACATTAACATAATCACAGTATTCTGTTTGCATTAGCTTCAAGTACTGCCTTAATCGCATTATGAGGGAAAATCTAAACTTGATAGCAAAATATAAAATAAAGAATTATTCTTAAAGAATTACTGTTTTTTTGTATTTTTTTGTCATTCCCTTTTGCTATTTTTAATCAGGTGTTATTATTCAAACATACTCCTTTTCTGCGAACTGACTAAATAATAATTTACTGTAATGAACTGAGTTTACTGACAACATGGTGAGTTAAATAGTATACAGCAAATATATACCCAATACTACAGTTTACAGTAAATGTATAATGAAGGCATATTTTCAACATTCCAAATACAAAAGGTAGTGTATTAGGACACAGCTCAAGGCGTGGTGAAGACTGTCACCTTTAACAAAATTGTGGTAACACTTTATACAAAGCAACCAAAAGAATCTAGGGTATAAAGGAAATAACATTAGTCTTAGTACAGAGCCTTGTTGCATTCCACTTATGAAGGTGCAGGATATGCACTGATGGCACCACAATGGGGTGGCAAGAGGGGCACAATAAAAAGTCTATAAAATATAAATAATAGAAAAGGTGTCACGCCCCTGGACTGACTGTGTGTGTTTTTGCTCCCCATGTGCTCCGTGACCTAGTTTTCCCTTGTGTTTGATTGTGTTCATTGATTCCAGGTGTGACTCATTTATTCCCTCGTTGAGTTGTGTATTTATAGTGTAGTCTGCCCTATGTTTCCTTGTCGAGTCTTAAACGTCAACTCCATGTGCTACGTGTGTGTTCCTGCCTGTCTTGTATTCCCCACGGTTTGGATTAAATAAACTGTTATTGTAATTCTCCTACATTCTCCTCATTCCTTGCTCCAACGCAGTAGCAACCCTGACAGAAGACAGGACCCATCAGTAAGCGGCGCCGTCGTCTGAAGATGGTCCTCGAGTGGGTGTGGAGTGGATACTGGCGAGAAACGGATCCCCGTTCACCGTCTCTTCGGAGGAGGATCTCGCCAGTTCCACTCCGGACCAAGAGCCCAGCCCACCATCATCCCACTGTGCGGAGCTCAAGCCCGAGCCCACCATTGACGGAGAGCCCGAAATCACCGCGACCGACGAACCATCGCCACAAGGGTGACAGAGCTGAGGATCGCCGCGGCGCTGGAGCTGTTTGAGCCGTCAGACCAGGTGCGATAGCCGGCTGCCACGCCCGCCATGAGGGAGAAAGCCATGGCCAGTGAGATCGCGGAGGGGAGCTCCGCCCACTGCAATATAGCTGAGGGTGAGCTATTTAAGGATCTGGGTGAATGGAAAACGGAGGGAGACCTTATAGACTTGTGGACTGACCTGCCCACTCTCCTCCCTCCTTTGGCAGAGCCCTCTGACACTCCTGGACGTGCCTTCCGTGAGGGGGGCGAGCTGTCACGCCCCTGGATTGTCTGTGTGTGTTTTTGCTCCCCATGTGCTCCGTGACCTAGTTTTCCCTTGCGTTTGATTGTGTTCATTGATCCCAGGTGTGTCTCATTTATTCCCTCATTGAGTTGTGTATTTATAGTGTAGTCTGTATCCTTGTCGAGT